TGGCCTTTACAGCTTCACCGGACGATAGGGGGCGAGTGCAGATAGCACTCCAAACCAAAGGAAGGACTTATGGAGCGACTGAAGGCCAACTCCCGCCTGAGGGATACGACTTTAGTGTGAAGGCACCGCTAGGGGTTCGAACCTCGGCTCAGGCCGTCGTAACAGCGGTCCCCGTTTGAATTGGACGAGGGATGGATCGGAACACGTTTTATATTTATTGAGTACCCGATATTTCGTTTACCAGTTTACCCGTGATCATGGCGGTTGAAACACTGCCGAAATATCGGGAACTCAGTAAATATAGAACATGGTAAGATCCTGTGATTTACTAATTATACGTATAAATAATGATCGCGTCAAATTATATAACCCTTACATAGTATAAAATGATGTCGCTTCCGTTGTCTGTTCACTTAGATCTCTTAAAGTACGCAACGGATTTTCTTGCAGTTTGTAGCAAAAGATAGAGTGATTCAAGAGGAAGCTTTATATGTATAATCCATATACTTCTGTGAGAACCCGGGCCGAATAGCTAATCGTATATAAAAAAGGTTAGATTAAAAATGGACAGATTATGCAAACAGTGCGTCGTTAATGCAAATTCTAGAATATTCTCGAAAAATCTACTATCCCGTTAGTATATTCTGGATAGTTCTTTCCTGTGCCGTTGGGTGAAAGAATTATAAATAAAACATAAGTAAAAACCTCGAAATTCGTTCCAATTTCGATAGTCTGAATAACCGTTAAACTGAAACAGTGAGTCATTAATTTCACATGTGCGACAGAGAGCAACAATCGATTCATAGAATCGTTCGAAATCTATTTGTTTACCCGACTGATTGAGTTTCGTAAACATTGTTTTTTATGTCATGGTAACAAAATAGAGGCAAAGGAACAAAGCGATGTAAACAAGAAGGTTTCTAGCAAAGATCGCCATTGACAAATTGAGCATAGAGTAAGAGGAAACATAGAGAATACAATCGACCAGACTTGCGTCACTTACTGCAGAGTAATAAGGAGGTTGTTAGTAATCTGGATTAATAATCCCAAAATTGCTAGTGATATACCATATCCGCTTGACCCATGCGGTTTTCCCTAGAAACCATCATGTTAAATTCACGGTGAATTCACCACGATGTGCTAACTGACCTGACCTCATGTTCATCTTATCATCCTCCACTAGTCCCATCAGCGTAAGCCGTTAGAAAAGGCGGGTGCAACATTCTATTATCATCCATAAAAAAACCTTACAGATTTCATTGTAAATATTACCAGGAAGAGGAGATAACATGTTTGTAATTACATGTTCTCCCCTTCTCTCCTTAACAAATAAAGGTGCACCGCCAGCTACATATTAATATAACTATTGCAACACTATTACTGTGTTCTGTTTTTAAACTGGATAGTCCTGGTTTTTTGAACTTACAACTCTGGTTTTTTAAATTTGAGCTTGGCAACCCTATGGCATACAAACATTGACATGTTAAGCGGATAGAGAGTTTCAAATATTGTAATTGTCTCCATACCAACTTTGTGTATTGCAATTATTACAGCGACTCGATGGTTTTTATCACCCAACTCCATTTTATCATAAACCTAGCTACTCGCCCCGACTTCGAACGGGTGTACATGTATTATATATATAAACCTTCCCCTTGAATCACTCTTAGGGCTGTATGCAATTTTTATGCCAACTCAAAAATAATTTATTTCTCATCCAATATTGACGTTTCACATTTCACATTTAGGTACCAGATCCCTCCACTTACAATTTACAATTATTGGAATTACAATTGAGCGAAAACATAAAAAAAGAGAATCAATATTAACATAAACTTAACAGACCTATCTAATAAAACAAACCGCTTCAGAATCCGTTGCGTAGTGTTAAAGATTTAAGCATACATAGGGACGCACAGACAGCGACAGGGACTTTGTTTTATATTATGTAATGATTATTTGACAACGGTTTGGCGCGATATATTTTTTTTATACTACTGTGGTGGCAAACAAACATACGGCCCATCTGATGGTAAACGGTTACCGTAGCCTATGGACGCCTGAAACACCAGGGGTGTCACGTGCGTTGCCGACCCTCAAGAAACCTTAATATACCCTTCCTGAAAAACTCCATGCTGGAGTCTCTAGTCTAGAGAAAACCTCGGAAGGTAGTTCATTCCACAATCTAAGTGTATTTATGTAATAAATAATACCTATTACCACCTATACTACTTTCTCTAACTTCTAAATGAATCTGTGAAAACAGTTGGTTGCAAGTCCCGTGTAAAAACCCCATGTGTAATACCCTTCTTGAAAAACCCCATGCTATACATGGGGATATATTATGGGGAATTTCTCGAGAAAACACAATAAACCTTCATATAAGAATGACAGATTCCAAATTCAAATGATTTTTTCTCGGACTACTCTAATGCTGTTGGCCGCAGCTGGCCTTTACAGCTTCACCGGACGATAGGAGGCGAGTGCAGATGGCACTCCAAACCAAAGGAAGGACTTATGGAGCAGCTGAAGGACAACTCCCGCCTGACGGCTACGACGCCAGTCTGAGGGCACCGCTAGTGTTTCTAACCTCGGCTCAGGCCGTCGTAATTTCGATCCCCGTTTCATTTGGACGGGGGATCGATCGGAGGGGTTTTGTTTATGTAATTGTAACAATATTTATGGCCAGACTATGTAGATATCTGATAACGTTTTTCTGACCTTAAATTCTAGTTGCCATGGATGTATATTGTATAATTTAAATAAAATGGCTCTTGAAGGAAAACAGAATTATAAATTATACATAAGTTTATAGCGGAAATATTAATATGTTGAATGCTACCATGTATGTATGTATGTATGTATGTATGTATGTACATTTTGTATTATTTGTATGTCTACTGGGGTACATAACATAAGTATGTATGAATTGATAACACGTGTCGCCAAAATGTAATGTGAGTAATAATAATAATATTATATCTGCGATAGTTTGTGAGTATGGATATATGGATGTATGGATGTTTGTTACTGTTTCACGCAAAAACTACTGAACCGATTTTGATGAAACTTTACAATAATATAGCTTATACATCAGAATAGCACATAGGCCATAAATTTCATTCGGATGAAACCGCGTGAACAACTAGTAATAATATAATAATAACCTTGAACAATTCCCACAGCGCCATCTAGTCCCAAGCTATGCAGAGCGCGATTCTGTACCTACTAGACAACTGATATAAATACATAGATATATTGTTTTTATAAATACATGCATATACACAGAAAACACTCAGATCAATACGAACAATCATACTCAATACAAATGTTTGTACCGTGCGAGGAATCGAACCCGCGACCATCGGACGTAAAGCGGTATGCTAAACCGCTAGACCACCGAGGTCGTCGTAAAAATATAAAGTGCGAATATAGTGCATAGTCCATAAGAGTGTTTCCCAACCTTTTTTTAAGCTTTTTTACAATTCTTAGATGCGGTAGATTGAAAAAAAAGTGATGACTATTCAAAACTGCTTCAATATAAGTTTATTCGAATAAATGATTTTCTATTCTATTCTTATCCTCCCTGCTGGACCTCCGAGGTTGTCAGATATTTAATCTTATTTTGTTACTCAACCAGTTGATTGTGTTTTTATTTTTTGTCTCTAATGAATTAGTGCTAGTTAGTAGTTTGTATTCACACGTTTCAACTTAAAAATGTAAAGTTACAACGATTATTTAAAAGAGCAACACGCAAGTCTCTTGTTCGTTCTTCTTGTGACGAGATAGCTTTCCGAATGAGCGACAGATTAAAAAATGTGTATGACTATTCAAAAGTACTTCTATTTAAGTTATTTTTAAATAAAGCATATTCTATTCAAATTGTCTTAGTACTTAAATACAGCAAAAATATATATTGTAAATACCACAAAGTAATTGATTAATAAATATCTTTATTATAAGTTATAATAAATTCTTTATTCTAAAGAAATTTCGAGAAATTATCTAAAGGGCATAATATTAATAAATAATTGTAGCAATGAGGTTTACTTATATAGAGTTTGTAACAACTCGTCTGTGTACCTCAGTTTCACCTATTTCAGCCTCCAAGCAGCTTGCTTTGTAAGATGTTTCAGTTGTAGGGTGCAGATTAGGCAGTGAAATTACAGGGTACAGAGGCATGACACCGCATTTCTCTAGATTCACATCAACTATATTCTGTGTAAATTCATTAAGAATTAACTGGTATATTTTCCATAGAGACTGCGTAGGTTTTAACTTTACAGATCGGGGGGAAGGGAACTGTCAGTCAGATATGTCATGGTAACAAAATAGAGGCAAAGGAACAAAGCGATGTAAACAAGATTTCTAGCAAAGATCGCCATTGACAAATTGAGCATAGAGTAAGAGGAAGCATAGAGAATACAATCGATCAATCGACCAAACTTGCGTCTCTTACTGCAGAGTAATATGGAGGTTATTAGTAATCTGGATTAATAACCCTAAAATTGCTAGTAATGTTAGCTCAGCTATGTCAGATTGACCCATGCGGTTCCCCCTGAAACCATCGTGATAAATTCCTGGTGAATTTATCACGATGTGCTAACTGACCTGACCTCATGCTCATCTTATCATCCTCCATTAGACCCATCAGCGTAAGCCGTTAGAAAAGGCGGGTGCACCATTCCATTATCATCCATAAAAAAAACCTTACAGATTTCATTGTAAATATTACAATTACAAACATGTTCTCCCCTCCTCTCCTTAATAAATAAATAAATAAATGATTGATGAAAACAGCGTCCAGAAAAAGTTAAGTTTACGCCGTGGAAATCGATCATCTCAATGCCGGTTCACTACCAAATAAACTTTAAACCGAACCATTAAGGTTTCATTTCCAATGCGTGAATTTAATGAAAACGCGCTGAATACAAAACAAAGTATGGAAATGCAAGCCTATAAAAATACAGCGCGCTTCGCCCACCCTGCAGTGCCGGCGGACCGCCAATAAAGAGACACTCGTATTAAAAATTTCTTTTTAGAAACATAATATGAGTGCCATAATCCTTGTGCTGGTAGCCATTTTGGCTTACAATTTCTTCTCAAGGAAAGCCGTCACGTGGAGGAGTTCGAAATTCAAAAATGACAAGCCAGTATTCAAAACCGCGCCCGGCCCGATTCCTTTGCCCGTCGTTGGCAGCTTGCATTTGCTTGGAAAAAAAGAATCTCCTTTCCAAGTATTTACGGAGCTGGCTAAAAATTATGGCGACATATTTAGCATTAAGTTAGGCAGTACACCATGTTTGGTTGTGAACAATTTGGAGTTGATACGCGAAGTTTTGAATCAGAACGGAAAATTCTTCGGTGGTCGCCCCGACTTCATGCGGTTTCACAAGCTCTTCGACGGCGACAGAAACAATTGTGAGTGTTCTTTTTTAAATTACAATTTTAGAATTCCATTCCATATTTTTTTTTATTTTAAAGAGACTTTCTTCGTTTAAAATTGTCTAAGATGAAAAATTTGGCTCAAAAAACAGAGAACCATAGTCATTGAGAAAGCAAACTCTACGTTTTATCTAAGACACTAGGGTCCTTCCTCACTAGAATTTATAGTCAAGAGTCTTAATTTTAGAATTCTATTTAACTTTTCTAAAACTTGTTCAAATTTAAATTAAAACAAAGAAAACTACTAAAACAATTACTAAACTTAATAATTAAATAATTAAACGATTTAATAAAATTGAAAACAATACAAAAATTGGGCTAATATATCATAAAATAGCAATAATATCTCGCTATATAGGCCACACCGTTAACACTTCCTACATAAAAATAAATGTATAACATTTACGAATATTTTATTAGATACTTTTTAATTTGAAATCAACTTTAAAATATTACAGTTATAGTCGGTTATCTAGTGTATAGAATTGGAGGATACTGTCGTATCTAAATATATTAAAATAGACTTTAATATCTTAGATTTAAAATATATTATAAATATTTTTATAGATAAGCCTCAGTTTAATAACGAAGCTCACAGAGTAATTAATTATAGATAGAAGTTACGACCACAATTAACATTAGGTACTTTTTATACTAACTGACCGCGCCGTGACTTCATACATCACACTTACTTGACATTTATCATTGTATTTCGCCCAGTTTACATAACATATTTTTAAATTATAGTTTTTGTGTTATTTTTTTTTTATTCTTTATTGCACTTTAAAAGAGTGTACAAGAGGCGAGCTTAATGCCATATGGCATTCTCTACCAGCCAACCTTTGGGTAGAACTAGAAAGCGTTGTAGGGCAGTAATGGCAAAAATTTGTGATATTAATACTATAATAAATAATTAGGCAAACAAAATCTATGTACATATATAATTTATGTTATATAAATATAATATATACTTTAAATATTCATATATATATATATATAAATTATACAGAATAAATACATATTCTCATGTATAAGCTATATTATTGTAAAGTTTCATTACAAACCGTTTAGTAGTTTTTGCGTGAAAGAGTAACAAACATCCATCAATACATCATCCATACTAACTTTCGCGTTTATAATATTAGAAATATTGTAGTGCTCTAAAGAATGTTAAAAATTTATTCTATATATAATAATAATCTGTAATGCGTGCGTAAATAAATAAAATAAATAAATAAGACTGATTTGCTTATTTTAATGACGATTTCCAGACGAGCATGCATGGCAATAATAGTTCATGCAGCATTTCATTTAATGTTAGACATAGACCTAATAAAAAATAAACAACCTAATAAAAAAAAAACATAGACACCTAGGTTCACAATGTATATAAACTTGCTTTAAAAAAAAAGAAAAAAATACAATTCAGTTTACCAGTTCTCCTCAATAGAATCTGTATGCTAAATTGGACGGTATGGAAAAAAAAATACAAAAAATGTGACGGTCGTAACTGACTAAAATGTCCTATATGAATAAATGATTCTTGATTACGTTCATAAGCGGCTCAAATGTCCTACATGAATAAATCATTTTAGAATTTATTCATTTCAAAGCTTTTAAAATTAACCTCAGTCAATAATTGCTGACAAGTTTGCCGTAATACAAAATTGGTTACACTGTTTCTTACAAAATATTTAGTTAACATTGCTAGCAAACCAAATGGTTGGCTAGCGGTTGAAATCGACCGTAATAAAAAATAGAAAAAGATATTTGAACGAAGTCATAACTTTTAAACTAAATACCCAAAGACATTAACAATCACATCCAAACGCACACACAGACATACACACACACAAACACACACACACTTAATCTTTATTTTAATTAATAAATTACCTTATAATATTAAATTTTATATCGATACTATATTGGAACTGACTGTCCTAAAATCAACTAAATATAAATATGTGAACATAATCTGGCCGCTGCGGTACAAGCTATGCTTAGTGCAGATACCGTTGTAAATAAACACAACTGACCACTTTGTTTAACTGTCATAGGTTAAGTTAAGATCTATATTTGTAAAGTTGTGTCTCATGTGAAGTGTCTTTCTTGAAAAAAATAAATATTATTATTAAACAAAAGAGTATAAGCGTGTGTGTAAAATACATGCTATTGTTAGTAGCTTTTTTAATATGTAGCGTATTTTTTAAGCATAATATTTAAAAATATTAGTATTCTGCACTGGGTCTGTTCAAGTATTACGTAAGCAGATTTATCACAATTATTTACCCCTCATCCCCCGTTGTCAGCAAAAGTAAGCAAAGCTCTTACCCCTCCCCCCATGCTTACGTAAACATTTTTCAATTAATGTATTGTTTTACTTTAACAAAGACAATGTGAGGGTTGCCATTCGTGTAAAAAAGTAAATTACGACCGATGACGTAATCATCATACAGACTCCCCCACCCCCATGTCATCCAAAATAAGCAAAGAAAATACCCCCCGCCCCCCTATAGTGCTTACGTAATACTTGAACGGCCCCACTGTATATATAGACTATTTGGGTCTGTGGTTAATAATAATAAAATCATAAAAAAAAAAACTGCTAGCCGACCCCGCGAACTCTGTTCTAGAAATTATTATTTTTTACTATTTTCCTACATTTTATTACCGTTTAAACCTTCCCTGGATTTCCACGATTATTTCAAGATTAAAATTATTCTAATCGGTTCAGCCGTTTTCGAGTTTTAGCGAGACTAATGAACAGCAATTCATTTTTATTTATATATACTAGCTGACCCGCGCGACTTCGTCTGCATCACACTTATATATATTATATATATATATATATATGTATATGTATATATCGCCAAATTTACATAATATCTTTTTAATTTATAGCCTATATGTTATTATTAAGTAAAAACTTTCATCCACTATTTTATTTCACCCTTTAGGGGTAAAATTTTTACAAACTTTGAATGGCATATTTTATTATTTTATCAACAGCCTCAAAAATAAGTTACAAACTCTTAGCTTCAAAAATGACGATTCTTCCATACAATCTTTCATCCCCACTTTCAACCTCTTACAACCCTTTTTTCGCATTCAAAAGTACGTCCTTTCTCAGGGTCTAGACTATCTGTGTATCAAATTTCATTTAAATCTGTTCAGTGGTTTTGACGTGAAATCGAGACAGACAGACAGAGTTACTTTTGCATTTATAATATTAGTAAGGATATATATAGATAAGTGTGCGAAATTTCTTATACCTCCGTCCGCGCCATTTTACGTAAAAAGGGTACAAAGTTTTTGCATTTCTCTCACGCCACACTTACAAGCACAGACTACGGTCAGTAGCCTCACAAGCAAATAATGCTTCAATTTACTCTGTGCGCAATTAAATAATATATCGCCAAATACAATAATATATTAAGTAAAAAATTTCTAATTTGGAATAACCACTTTAAGTCATCATACTTAGAGTCTAATTTCAAAAAATAAAATTTTTGAGTTTGTGCAGTTTTATATGATATGTTGAAATAATGTAGCACCCACCTAATCAATAATGTATTAAGTCAAAAATTTTAAATTTGGAATAACCACTTTAAGTCATCATACTTAGAGTCTAATTTCAAAAAATTAAATTTTTGATTTTGTGCAGTTTTATATGATATGTTGAAATAATGTAGCACCCACCTAATCAATAATGTATTAAGTCAAAAATTTTAAATTTGGAAAATCCACTGTGTTTTGTAACTTTAAAATTGATATTTGAGTTTAGTCTTGTTAAAATAGTATAATAATGTATTAAGTCAACATTTTGAAATTTGGAAAATATACTCTACGGTTTTTACTTTCGAGTCTAATTTCAAATATTTGAATTGTTGAGTTAGTTCAGTTTTATATGATATGTCGAAATAATATAGCACCCACCAAATACAATAATGTATTAACTCAAAAATGTTAATTTCGAAAATCCACTCTATAATATTAAATTCAAAGTCTAAATTCATAAAATTTAATTTTTGTGTTAGTTCAGTTTTGGTGTGATATGAGTATGTTCAATAATGTAGGTCCCATTTTTGTTTTCTTTTTTGTATACCCTCCGTCCGTAATTGAAACTTAACCTATTTTTTTTTAATATTACACATCCTTACAATACAACTTTATATATAGACTTATTTACTACTAGCTGTTCCCGCGAATTCGTCTGCGTGGAATTTATATTATTTTTCTAAAATAAAAGTAGCCTAATTACTCCTTATTACATCAGCTACCTGCCAAAAAAAGTCCCGTCAAAATCAGTCCAGCCATTTCAGAGATTACCCGGAACAAACAGACAGACAGAAAAAAAATGTTATTTTGGTGTGTGGACCGTATTTATATTCATATGCATGTAGTAAAAATCGGATATTTTGAATATTGCAATCAGACACTCCAATTTTATTTTTATATGTATAATTTATTACACAAATTATAATCTGGTAATATAACGATCGATCCTTCATCCAATTCAAACGGAGATCGAAATTACGAGGTTCGAACCTCTAGGCATTGCCCTCAGACTGGCGTCGTATCCGTCAGGCGGGAGTTGTCCTTCAGCCGCTCCATAAGTCCTTCCTTTGGTTTAGAGTGCCATCTGCACTCGCCCCCTAACGTCCGGTGAAGCTGTAAAGGCCAGCTGCGGCCAACAGCATTAGAGTAGTCCGAAAAAAAGTCTGGTCGGTTCTAAGATGCTCGAATGCGACTAATAAACAAACGGACAAATAAACTTTCCTATAAATAATATTAAAACGAATGTTTCGCACGGGCATCCGATACAAGGCAGTTGTTATAAATTGCTTAGTCTCAACTTTGGAATTTTAATGATTTAATAAAAAGTTCATATGACCCAGTAACCTAGAAGTGTGGGCTATGATCTATTGTCTATGCCTGTAATTAAATATGGCCGACTAGTGACAACAGTGGGTCAAAGATAAACAAGTATAATATTACAAAAACAAACCTTTTGTTAATATTGTAATAAATTTGTTAATTATTAATTGGGACTAGATGTGGCCGCGATTTCATCCGCCTGCCTGATAATGTACATACACCAAAATAACAGTTTTTACAATTTTGGTCTGTCTGTTTGTTCCGTCTAATCTCTGAAATGGCTGGACCGATATTGACGGGACTTTTTTTGCCAGATAACTGATGTAATAAAGAGTAACTTAGGCTAGTTTTCTTTTAGAAAACTGCCTTTATTTTAGAACAAAAAAGTTAAATTCCACGCGGACGTAATCGCGAGTGCAGCTAGTAGTATATACTCTGTGTAGTTTTTTTTTTTATGGATGATAATGGAATGGTGCACCCGCCGCGCTAACGGTTTACGCTGGCGGGGCACCAGTGGGGGATGATAAGATGAACATGAGGTCAGGTTAGTTAGCCCATCGTGACAACCTCACCACGAACTTATCACGATTGTTTCCAGGGAGAACCGCGTGGAGGTCAACCTGACATGGTACATTGCTAGTAATGGGGTCATGAGTCCACATTACTAACAATCTCCTTTCCCCCTACTCTGTGTAGTTGATAGAGTCGCGTAGAGATAGTGTGAAACGCAAATTAGTTCTTTTTTTTAATACAGTACAGTTGTATAGTCCATATATAGGCTATATAACATCACGCTGTCACAAATAGGAGCGGAGCTGCAGTGAATAAATATTGCATGACACAAACGATGTTTCTCGAGTCATCGATAGATATATAAATTGTAAATTTATATCTCTAGCTGTTCCGGCGATTTCAGCTGAGTGAAATTTATACGCTACTAGCTACTCGCCGCGGCTTCGCACGGGTGTACTGTATTACTCTACTAGTACTTACTTTACTAGTACTTATACGCTACTAGTCCACTAGTCTACTAGTACTTATACGCTACTACCTGCTCGCCGCGGCTTCGCACGGGTGTACTGTATTACTCTAGAATCACTCTATCTATTAAAAAGTACCGCGTCAAAATCTGTTGCGTAGTTTTAAAGATTTAAGCATGGGTACATAACGTATTAGGGACGGACCGACAGCGACAGAAACTTTGTTTTATACTATACGGGCTACTCGCCCTAGCTTCGCCCGGGTGTACATGTATTATACATATAAACCTACCTCTTGAATCACTATTAAAAAAAACCGCTTCAATATCCGTTGCGTAGTTTTAAAGATTTAAGCATACATAGGGACGGACAGACAGCGACAGCGACTTTATTTTATAGTATGTAATGATGACTAGCTGTTCCCGCGATTTTACCTGCCTGAAATTTATACGTATCTGTTAATTTGATGTAAGTAATGTAGCTGACATTACTGTAAAGTTCCATCAAAATGCGTGCGGTTGTTTTTGCGTGTAAATGTAACAAACATCCATCCATACTCAGAAACTTTCGCGTTTATAATATTAAATTGATTACGATTAAATTGATTAATTATAAATATTTAACCTAAATAAATATAAAAAATAATTCATAATTAACATTCATCTAAATGCATTACGGTCGGAAAAGTGCATAATCGCCATTTCCTTTGCCAAATTTAATATTGAAACATTATACTCGACATATTAATATCATTTCCTATATTAATTTTAGCTTAGCACTTGTAATTTGATGTATGTTTGTTTCTTAATGCAATGGCAAATTATATTACTCCAGGGCTGTCCAAACTAATTACGATCACGGCCCATTTTTTAATTCTTATTAGAGACATCCGTCGTAGAGACTCGCCCGCTCCTCCGATCGATCAGTTCGAAGTTTCAGACGAAAATACGACGTTTCTACCCCCGTCCGATCGATTCCCCGTTCAATTCAAACGGGGATCGAAATTACGACGGCCTGAGCAGAAGTTCGAACCCCTAGCGGTGCCCTCAGACTGGCGTCGTATCGGTCAGGCGGGAGTTGTCCTTCAGCCGCTTCATAAGTCCTTCCTTTGGTTTGTAGTGCCATCTGCACTAGCTCTCTATCGTCCGATGTAGCAATATTTGCTTTGAGATGACAGGAACCTCAGTCTATGTGCCTGTTGTGGAAATCTTGGGAATCTTACTGTAGTCTGAAGGCACCTCTAGGAATTTAGGTCTTGATTTAGACCGTTGTAATTTTGATCTCCGTTTGAATTGGACGGGGGATCGATCAGAAAGCGTATTCATAGTGTGATTGTTTGCATCGGTCTGGGTGATTTGTATGTATATTTTTTAAGTATTTACAAATAATCTCAATATTTGTATCACTGCATTAGTACCCATAACACGAGCTCTGCTTAGCTTGGGACTATATGATCCTGTGTGAATTGACCAGGGTTATTATTATTGTTTTCCAATCTAATCCAGAATACGCCGCAATATAATTCTAGTATTATATAATAAATATAAAATGTTGGGACACTTTTATGAAAACATTATTGAGGGAAAAATAGAAGGAAATGGAGAGAATTGACCAAGGCACAGCTACATCAAGCAAATTAAAGACAGAATTGGAGTCATGTCGTAACAACTTTTAGAGAGAGGCAGAGATTAAATAATCTTTGTGACATTGACAAGTAGATAGATGGATGGACGGAACTGACGTAGCTGGAGTTTGGAGCGAAAAGTTTGGAGTATTTATTATTATAAAAACAAATAAGAGATGGTAATTGTGAATATTCTAGGCATCGGGGCATGGGACAATTGAGGGATGAATGGAAGAGAAAAACATTACGCCGACCCCAAATAAATGGGATAAGGAAGAAGCAGATGATGATAATGATGATGATTGTGATGGGTATGGGACACAGTCACCTAGATACATCAAAATAATCATTGCATTTAATAATGTCTAGTAAGACAAATTCAATATTGTCTACTAAGAGCATGATGGAAGATCGAGGAAAGTGGAAAGAGCTCCACCGACAAGAGGTTCTCTCTTAAATTATGAATGAAAGACCAAATATAAGCTGCGGCTCGCATTGGTGTTGCGGGCCGTGATTTAAACAGCTCTGATGTCACATATCTACGTAATTACGTGTACATTACCTAAAAACTCGCATTAAACGTGTATCTAAATATACGCCATTAAGTGGGACGCAATATCTATATATATATATATATAAATGAATTGCTGTTAGTTAGTCTCGCTAAAACTCGAGAACGGCCGAATCAATTTGGCAAATTTTAGTCTTGAAATATACGTAAAAGTCTAGAAGTTAAACGGCGATAAAATATGAAGAAATTTCATGGAGAATAGTAAAAAGAACAATTTTATTTTTCCAATTTTCTGAACGTAGCGCAGTGTGCGTTCTGAAATTTATTGCGTAACTAAACTTCAAAACTCATTTGATTCTAAAAGAGGTTAGTCGTGACTCTGACTACCCCGTCTAAAATGACAGTCGTGATGTTTATTTGTTTTTTAAAAGCTTATATGATAGAAATGGAAATTACTAGAACATAATTAACATTGATAAATAGTTACCCACTTAATAGAGCATGAAGGTATAAAAAGAAGCCTATTACAAGATCACGATACAATGCACAAGCATAAGTTACTAGCTGACCCGGCCAACGTTGTTTTGCCATATTTAAAAATAGAGGTTGATGGTAAAAGAGTGAAAAATTAGGGATGTATGTATTTTTAATACCGAATCTTAAAATAATAAAAAAAAATATTCCAAAATGTAACATACAGTTTTGAAGTCGGCCAGTTTTATCACGTAGGGGATATTAAAAAGCAGATATTATAAGTAGCATTAGAGTAGTCCTAAAAAAAAAGGATTCATTGTCAACTGTGGTCGTGGTGGTGAACGCAACACTTGATATGTCCACATTTCGCTCGGTATATTTGTATACAACGCGGCAGGGGGCGAGCCTATCGCCGCGCCGTCTAGGAATAATTTTTAGTTTTATATGTAATTTTTCTTTTACCTAATTTAATCGTCAAATACTAAGTCTAAATTCGTCATGACGAAAAATCCTGATTATTATATAGTATATATATAGTAACCATCAAAACAAATAAACAAAATCGTATTAGAAAATATAACAAAATACATTTCACTTTATAACCTCTTCGTATTTTCCGCCATTTTTTTACTATAAATAATGTTCTAAATTTAAATATGGTTATTTTTAAGATTTTTGTTTTTATCATCTATTAATTGATGTAACATTATGACAAACTCTTTGTTAACTGTACAATGTTTCCCGCCATTTTTCATCATAAATATGATTCTAAATTTAAATATTGTCATTCTTAAGACGCTTGTTTTTATCGTTTATAAATTGATGTAACATTCTAACAACATCTTTGTTGACTTTACATTTCCCGCCATTTTTTTCACCATAAATATGGTTCTAAATTTAAATATGGTAAGTCCTTAGACGCTTGTTTTTATCGTCTATTGAGTGATGTGTCATTATACATTCACATATTAAAACTGAATGTGCATTAAGGCGCAAGACGGGCGCTTGCGTGCGTGAATATTTTATCTGCAGAATTTATTATCTGTGTAAATTTAGACCGATTATGCTCTTGGCTTCGTGTTACTTTTAATATTGTATAATTTAAGTACTATTTAACATTCAATTAAATTACATTTATTGTTTAAAAATAATTTATATTGTGTTTTAAATAGTCATCTAAAAACACATTTAAAGTCTGCAACACGTACATGATACCCCGTGTTTCAGGCTACGGTTACTGTTTACCATTAACTGGATCGTAGGCTTGTCATTCAGTCGCTCTATGGTTCCAAAAACTTAAAAAAACTATTTCTTTGTCCACAGCTTTGGCCCTATGTGACTGGTCTAATCTCCAACTAAGGCGTCGCAACCTTGCAAGACGGCATTGCGGTCCCAAACAGCACACCGACAGCTACGCAAAGATCGGAACCGTCGCTACATTCGAGTCTATCGAACTAATCCAAACTTTAAAGTCCATCACTAGAACCTCCGACAGCAGCATTAACTTGAAGCCTATCCTCATGTCTACAGCTATGAACATGTTCTCCCATTACATGTGCAGTGTCAGATTTGACGAGAACGATCCCGAATTCAGGAAAATCGTAGACCACTTCGATGAGATCTTCTGGGAAATAAACCAGGGGTATGCCGTCGATTTCTTGCCGTGGCTCGCGCCTTTTTACAAGAAACACATGGAAAAATTGTCCAGTTGGTCTCACGATATCAGATCCTTCATTTTATCCAGAATTGTTGAACAGAGGGAGCTCAATTTGGATGTGGACGTCCCCGAAAAAGATTTCTTGGATGGACTGTTAAGGGTTCTACATGACGATCCGACAGTTGATAGAAATACTATTATATTTATGCTCGAAGATTTCCTGGGCGGTCATTCTTCTGTTGGTAACCTTGTTATGCTCTGTCTGGCAGCTGTGGCGAGAGATCCTGACGTCGGTAAGAGAATTCGGTCGGAAATCGACGGATTCATTAAAGGGAAACGCGCTATAGGACTATCTGATAGAAGTAACCTTCCATATACAGAAGCAACTATTCTAGAATGTTTAAGATACGCATCATCACCTATTGTACCTCATGTGGCCACGGAGAACGCAGCAGTAGCCGGTTATGGCGTCGAGAAAGGTACTGTAGTATTTATCAACAATTACGAATTAAATACATCAGAACAATACTGGGAGAAACCGGATAAATTTGATCCTTCGAGATTTTTAGAGAAGAGTAAGGTGCGGGTACGAAGAAATTCTCAATGCGACTCCGGTATGGAATCAGACGGTGAAAGAAACGGGCCCATAGACAAAGCTACTGAGACAGAAAAGGAGGTTACATCAGTTAAAAGGAATATACCACACTTCCTGCCGTTTAGTATCGGAAAAAGGACGTGTATAGGTCAAACATTAGTTACGACAATGAGTTTTGTTATGTTCGCGAATATAATGCAAGAGTTTGAGGTAGCGGCTGAAAATTTAGATGATTTAAGACAAAAGCCAGCATGTGTAGCTTTACCCAAAGACACATTTAATTTATATCTCGTCCCACGGAAACACTGACTGTAATTATTCTCACATTTTAGGTATAGACTCTCGAGATCAGTGTCATATTAATTTGTTTTTTTTTTTACGCTAACCACAGATTAAATATTAGGTTACAAATGAGGTTATATAGAAAAAATATTTGGTCTATAGTTCTTTAAAATTTTTATTATGTTTTCATAAATTTTGTAATGTTTTTAATCAACCTTTTTAGTGACATTTAGGGAATGAAATAGACGTGGCTTGACTCGAGGGAGACGCTCAAAATATTTATTTATTTTTCGAAATAATGACGGATTAGGTTATGTAAACGAATCCCAGTGTAACGCAAAAATGTTAATATAATTATCTCTATAAAAAAAAATGTGCCACGCATTGCCATTTTATTTAAAAGATAAATATTTTTAAATATAGAACACATTACTAACGACTGCATTTTGTTTGGCGGATTATCGATTTAATTTTAACTTTACGCATTTTATTGACTTCCTTTATGGTGGCCTATTTTTTTTAAATACGCCCCAAGTCAAAGGAGTCTAATATAAACGTTTTTAATTAGGATTTTGAGAATTACCTACTGAATGCATTTATATAGTGTAGACATACTTTCTCATTATAATAGTCTGTTATATGTAGTTATTTCATTTGTAGAGTCTTAATAAATTTGCTGTTTGTATAAAGAATTCTGTATATTCTCTTGTCCGTATGTTAGTGATAGTTTTTTTTAGAATTTACATACACCTCCGAATAGGGGTTCATTAATAAATTACGTTACACAAATTTCATAATTTTTGACCACTCTACCCGTTCTTGTGAGGGTCCACCTCCCCATAGTGTGGCGTCATATTTTGCAATTTTATTTTAGTAAACAAATAAAACAAAGCAAGTTATACCTTAAACTTATACAGATAAAGTTGAAAGTCTTTTGTCACAAAATGTCAAATATTGCAACATCAGCATAAACAAATGACGTAATTTATGAATGGCCCATAGATAATTTAGAAGTATATTTACCATGTATTAAATATCCTCATTTTCATTAAAACAGTAGCATTAATCTATAATAAACCATACTGCTTTGTATTTAAAATTTAATTCAGTAATTCAATTTATGCGTTTTCATCACTGGCTGTTGTATGTAATGTAATTTGTAATGGTGGTTCTGAATTCCATTTTTAAAATCGTACTAGGTACATAGATTAATAAATCGAATCTTGTAGGTTATACATTTGGCGGGAAATGACTTGAACCAAACCATAGACTATTTCTTTATTTTAAAACATTGACAAACAATAAGACAATAAATTTCATAGTAAATTATTTTGTTTTATAAATTTCTATATAAGACAAGACGATGTTAAAATCATGCTCAAGTTATTTTCCGATGAACTTATTTGACATTTTAATAACTTTTTAATGACATTTTAGTTTTTTTTTTAATCAAATGTAAACATTATTCTTTGTATAACGTGTCTAGTATTTTAAAAGAGTATTTAGTAAATGTTGTTGTTAATTCTTCTTTATAACAGAATTTTTGTTAATTTCCTGTCATTTTGTTTTGTTCATGGAATAATGTGTTGAGTAATAGCGTAGTACAATTGTGATCGTTTAGTTTGTAGATGCTGAGTTACAGATGTTGTATTATTGAAATTATAGTAATTATTATGCAATGAAATTTGATTTTTATTTATTTCCCAAATATTGTAAAGTGCAGTTAGCACATTAAAACATATTATTCTGACCCTTAAATAAATGTGATAATAATAATAACCTCAGGACAATTCACACAGCGCCATCTAGACCCAAGTTAAGCTAGCTAAAGCTTCTGTTATGGGTACTAGACAACTGATACAAATACAGAGATATTTTTTTTCGTAAATACATGCATATTATACATAGAAAACATACAGACCGATATAAACAATCATACTCATGAATACAAATATTTATGCCGTGCGAGGAATCGAACCTGTTACCATCGGAAGTAAGGCAATGTGCTAAACTGCTAAACCATTATTCATACACTCTCTGAAGGTATACTTCAGAGATGAAATGAACTTGTAGTGAATGTTCTACATGTTATTCTAGAAATAGATCTATCTATGCACCAAATTTCATTCGAATCCGTATAGTAATTTCTATTTATAAGAGTAATAAACATCATATCGTAATAGACATCCATCTATCCTTCGAAACTATTTTTTATGTAATCGGAATTACAGTAAAAATACTTACTTACATAAAGCTGACCACTTGGTGGTAAGTGGTAACCGTCGCCTATATACATGAACAGTATTACGGACATCACGTTATCATATAACACCCGTGATCCTAATGCGTTGTTATACCCTAGGACTTCGATGTCACGCCTCTTATCCTGTAATTTCACTGCCTAAACTGCACCCTACAACCGAAACATCTTACAAAGCAAGCTGCTTGGCGGCTGAAATACGTAAGACTGAGGTATACACGCAGACGAGTTTGTAGTGTCTATCTCGGTAGATAATAATATTATAATAGATATGGAATGGAATAAATAATATGGAAAAAGAATAGAAAATATTATTCATTACTCAATTATGTTTATAGCGACATCTAGTTTGTAGTAGAGAAAACTGCATAAAGTTAAACCGGTTTCGAATTTATTTCTACTACTTTGCACTAGATGGCGCTACTTGTCGTATATTGGAGTGGAATGAAAGATGGCGCTGAATGACATGCTTTCTTTCAGTGAACCAATCATTTATTCAAAATACTTGCGCATTTAAGTATTTTAAATAATGCTAGATATAAAAATAGTACATACAAAATCTTAAAGAATTTATTTATATATCTTTATTGCACCAGAAATAAATCACAAAGAATATAAACAGAAGTAATAAGGTACAATCGGTGGTCTTATCGCGTAAGCAATCTTTTCCAGACAACCTTTGGGTCTCTAGCCAGAAGAGAGAAGACTTCTGTCTTCTCTACTCTACCTTCTCTTTCTCCACTTTCTAGTGGTAGATGGATTATATAGTTTGTTAAAGAGAAGTGTGAGGAGAAGACTTTTCGGGTTACGGTCAATGATTAGACTATTTCCTTTTAACAAAATTGCAATAGTATATGCTGGTGGTCACTCTATACTCCCAAATTTGAATTTAAAAATGAATCTCTATTTGTGTAATCATGTACAAGCTCATTTGAAAAGAATAAGAGCTGAATTTCTTGTCAGTTCTTAGCTCGAAAGACTTCAAACTGACGGTAGATTTGACATATCATAAGAGTCTGTAGTTAATTAATTTATTCCATTTAAGGGGGTCTTCCTATGTGACGGCCTGTTTTTTAGGGATATTTTAGGATTTTTTTTCTACGACCAGTAAATATTTAGAGCTTCAAGTTTTTTATCATTTATTAACACATATTTGGACAGTATAAATATAAAATTTCAGCTAAAAATATTCAGTCAAACTAGAGTTACAGCGCTCTGAACACCCCCGCCTCGAAAAAAAGAGCTCCCACTTCCTCCACGATTCCGGCTGATCGGCTTATCTGAAAAAAAAAAAAAAAAAACGGCGTTTTAATTTGTAGGCTTAAAAGCACGGAATGACGTATAATCAAATGAATATAAAAAAAATTGGATTTTTGATAGACATTTGAAATAAAAGTTGCAAATTAGGCGTTTTTTTTTTGTTTTTTGCTATAAAAAAATCGAAGTTTTGAAAATTTTCGATTGATAATAGTTCATTCCATGCGTTTACATATATTGAGTGTGCCCTGTAAATTTCAAGTAATTCGGTCCAGCCGTTTCTGAGATACAATGGAGGAAAGTTTGAAAAACACAGTTTTGAGAAAAACGCGTTTAAAGTTTCAAGTCCGTTAAAAACTATTAAAATATCAACTTACTCTCAATCGGCGATGCCTGGTCCATAGAGTATTCCTTCCTCTTCCTCGTGAAACTCTTTTAAAGCAGATTGTTCAGCTCTTGAGTCAATCCTGGCTTGTTTAACGACATCACTTTCGCGCCGCTCAGAGCGTAAGATTCGCTTTTCATCCCGTTTCTCAACATACGCTTGGGCTTCACGACCAACAGGGCATCCCATAATCGACATAACTTTTAAAATACCTTGAAAACCTTCATTAAAGATAATAACTGCTAAGTAGCTAGCAATTTCAACAACTTTGGGACCAGAATGAAGATGTTTAGGAGCGAAAGTCCAAATCAAAGAATTCAAAGATTCGTTATTGTTTTGTGTCTCTGCTCCTAAACAACGAATTAATAATTCGTCTTTCGATAAATCTTCGAAAACCGGTTTGATAGCTTCTTGGACTTGCGGAATTAGAGGTGGTTTATCGTGATGAAATTGGTCCAGTTCAATATTAGCTTCAGCCTTACGCCATTTACACCAACTGTCTTCGCCTTCTGGACAAAATTGATGCTGAGGGTTTTCATCAGAAGAACATTTGTGATAGTACGTTGCCCAAACTTCCTTTCTCATATCTTCAAGCGAATCTGGATGGCGTCGAATTGCTAATCCGTAGAATTTTGTAATTTCTTGGATAACTTTATCAGTAAGTTTCCTTGCTCCTTTTCCTCCTATTCCTTTATTGGTTTTATCCTTTTTAACAGCCCGAAGTCGTGTTCCCATCCTCTTTTCTACGTGACCCACACATTCTTTTTTGTTACCGCAGTATCTCCATACGGTTTAGTATCTAGGATGCCCTTGAAAGTTTTGCTGTCACCGTCGCCAATGTATGTTAGATACTTTACGCCATATTTTTCTACAGACCTCAGAAACATTTTCGTGATGGCACTTATTTCCATTTTACCGGAACTTCCGGAATGGTTTATGGTGCATTCATCTACATGCGTTTCATACCACATCTCGTATTCTAAAGGATTTGTTTTTTTTTTATTTTTCCACAAATTACATCCACCACAAAAACTACTCATGACCATGACATCTAAAACTTTCCCAGTGTACTTGCCGATCAACGTAGACGCCGAGCAGAGATGAAAAGCCTCTTTTCTTCCAAGTACCGTCACCTGACACAATCAATTCATCCTGTGGTTTTCCTGATTCTTCATTCATAGTTTTTTCTTGCGTAACAGCGAATGCCAATAAAGTATCACACAGTGAAGAT